AAACGATGTTTCTTATATTTATTAATAACAATGATTTATGACAAATAAAAATATATTTCTGTTACAAAAATGACTGATTAAGAAGTGCTTAATTTCCACTATAAATAATGTATATATATAATATATAATATTGTATGATATATTGGTATTGTATTATAATATATAGTATTGTATATATATATATGTAAGTTAAGAAATTTGATACACGAACATTATGTTCACTTTTATTATGTATATTTTTAAAACATTCTATGATTGCACGATTAAAAATGTGTGAAAGTATTCTGAGATGTATAATATGTATATATATGTTAAATATTAAATTCGTAAAATTTGTTAAAAACATGAATTTTAGTTCATTTTAGAATAGGTTAATGATATGGGATATATAGAATCCCTTTGGTTCATATCAATTTTAGTCGCTATTCGCTTTTTGTAACTTTGAAATGTTGTTTTGAACACTTATATGTTAAAAACTATTGTTACGAAGAAGTAAATAGCACTTTTATATCAAATAATAGTTGTACATATATAAATTACTGTAAATATTGTTATTGTAAATTATACGATGCATATATTTGTTAATAAAGTATGAAATAACAATTATTAAAAGTTGGGGAATCTTTGAAAAATCGGTTGAGCTCAGGAATTTTCGTTTGACCTCGGCAAGGATACCCTCGGTTCATATATGCGTTTGTAGGTCACAGGACACATCAGTTGCTCCGAGGCTGTCATAACGTGTACATCTAAACTTGCACAGCCTAAATTAACTTATTTATCTATTATTTGCTGATAACAATTTATTTAATTCATTTATTTATGTTTAACTTTTAATAATTCATTAAATTTATTTATTATTCACTTTCAATTATTTAATTAATTTTTAATTTTAATAACTTATTTGATTCTTTATTTATTATTCAAATTTAACAATTTATTTAATTTATTTATTTATTTTTCAATTTTAACAATTTATTTAATTTTTTTATTTATATTTAACATTTAACAATTTATTTACTTTAATATTTAATTATTCATTTAATTATTTCATTCATTTTTTATCTCTAATTATCTATCTAATACTGAAATAAATATTCTATCTTTTATTTTTTTAATTTCATTAGTGTTAATGGACATTAAACATTTTTATCATAATTAAATTATAATCATACTTTTCCTAAATCGTTTGCGTTCGTACGTGTTCACGCGCGATATTTTTTCTCGATCCGACCAAGGTTTGTACGTGTCCGCGACATCGCGTGTGTGTGTGTGTGTGAAAGTGATCAAGAAAAGAAGAAGCAATTACAACCAATGTTGACATCGCTGCATTGACGACGTGACAAGGGAAGGATACAGTGAAGCTGATTCCAGGACGAAGGCGACACTCAGTCCAAAGCTGCTTTCATATGGAGAATAGTACAGCGATTGGTGAGTCGCATGTTTACGATTCCTCTGGTTTCCCATCATGTCGTAGGACGAATGGTCCAAAACGACACGGGTGACTGGTTGTATTTTATTATTTTCGTAGCGAGCATAGTGACCACGAGTGCTAATGTACTAATGTACAATAGCACTCGTGCAATATATATTTCTGTGATATATTTCTTAAACCCCGCTAGGGTTTTCTTGTACATCGCGTATTAGAATATCGCTGGAAGAAATTTCGAATTTCTATTCGAAGTAGAAATTTTTGGTCGTTCATTTCGTCCATCGTCATAGTTTTTACAGAATACAAATACAAGAAAGCATTCCCCTCGGAGAAGTTTCCAAAATCAAAGTAATAATTTGAATGGTTTTAAATTATTAGAGGTGTTGCTTTGATTTTGGAATTTCTCATATTTTTAATGAAACACAATTTCCCCATTTCACTTCTTTTTTTTCTTTTTTTTTTTATTAATACATGCTTCTTTCTTGTCATGAATTTTTGTCGAGTCAATTGAAAAGTAGAGTCACCCCAATACCTTAGCTATCCTTAATCTCAATTTTTAATTAGGATTTTCAGCAAGTAAACACCGACATTTTCCATATTATTTGTAATATTATTTTTGTCACTATGCTCGCTACATTGTTTCATTATATATGTGTATTCTGGGGTTTCTTATTTTTGCACATTTGTACAGTATTACTGTACAAACTGTGCATATTGTGTCTGAGGGATCGTCGAAATCCCTCGAAATTCGATATATCGCGATCGGGAATTAAAACTTTATCTCCTTTTGATATAACATTTAAAAAACTCAGAGTCACGAGAAATAAAGTGCCCTATGTAGCTACTCGGTGCATTTTTCCTCTAATGTTGCGACTTTTAAAATGCCATAAGTGGCAACGCGTGTCCCAGTTTTAAAAAATTATTCCCTATTTCAATCTACAATAATCTTATGCAACTACCAATTCATCCCCCCTATTTTTATTTTCGTGTTATTATTAATTGCTCTTCTTTTGCTGCAGATGTTAGGCATCCTACATTTTGAAATTTACTTTGTAATTTATTTTCTAATTTATTTTGCATTTGATTTTGCAGTATATTTTATATCATATTTTATATTGCTTCTTGCTTGCATCTTGCAATTAATTTGTAATTTACTTTGTATGATATTTAGTACTATGTTTTGTGGCACATTTTGTATTATATTTTTATAATGTTTTTAGGCACGGGTCTCGATTGCGTAGCCACCTCCACGTGGTGAGACCTGGTAATTGGCATCGTTTGCCAAAGATGTATTTCCACATTCGTCTCGATAAATTTTATATACTAATTTTCAGTATCTTCGATAAATTCATCTTTGGCAAACGATGCCAAGCTAAGAGCTACGCAATACTCGCAATCCAGTCTAGCCTCTAGAAGGCTATCTTCGGGTACCTTGGAGACTAGGCTAAAATTGCGAGTACCACTTTATTTATCGTAGATTATTTATATCTATTAATCTATCGTTATTTATCGGGCAACGTAGAATATCGTTGGACATTGAAGAACATCGAGGAACATCTTGGGATGCGTGTGTTTTAGATTTTATTAATTATAGGTTCTATTAGTTATAAGTTCATCCATCTTATTTAATAATTTTCCGCGACTTAATTATAAATTATACAAAAAGTAATATGAACTGACTAGTTGCGATCGTGTTTAAATTTTAGTAATATGTAGATGGCAGAATCTATTTGAAGTAAATGGAGAGTGTCTAGTATATCTATCGATGAACGAATAAAGAATACTTAGTCTAGAGAATTAGACATATGAAAAAAGAATATTTGAGTATCTAAAATATTTTGGTAAAGTATAAAATTTATAACTACTTGGAATAAAATGAAGACATATAGGTAAAACTGTTTAAACAATTCTTTGTTACATATCGTGAATCCCACGAATAGAATTTCCTAATTACCCCTAAAATGTTCAAAACTGCTCACTTTTTGAGATATATGTTTCACATTAGAAACACTGAACTACCTTATCTCTCGTCTCTGGTACAAACAACGCTCTCAGTTAGTAATAAATACCCCAGATAGAATGTGAGTAATTAATTAAGAAATCCTCAGAGTAACTTGTCTCACTCGATCGAAAACCAATCCCTTTAATTGGCTGCTTTAACCAATAACGAAAGACCGTGGAGGGATGGAAAGAAGTTCTTTCGAAAGTTCACAGACAGATCTACGATCTCGCTTAACACCAGCGAAACTTTTACATTCGTAGTTCTTCGAACAGTTGGGAATAAATCCGAGGATAGATGCGAGATCCGGTGAAAACCTTAACTTCCCTAAAATCGTTAAAAGCACTTGCGCCGTCGAATTTACAAAGAGATTCGCGATTCTTTCAAGGCTACCAAGCAACAGGGCACACTTCGAATAGAAATCAATTGTACGCAAACATAGGATCGTGTGGAATAAATGAATGGAAATTTTAATTCGAAGAACGGATTCTGGGAGAGAAATCAGTTCTTTTAACACATTCTCACTAGGTGAAATTTAATGGAAGTTATTATGAATGATAAACAGGGTAGCTTATGTTTGCAGATTTGAGTGAATTTAGAAAATTAAATTAAGAACTGAACATTTCAGACTTACGAAGATTCTATAAATGAGACAAAAGGTAATGTACGTATAATTTATTGCACTTTCTAGATTATTTTAGAAATTCGGTTATATTAGAAATGAGAGAACAGTATAAAGTTTTATATGACTTTAATGTAAACTGTATGCAGTACTCTTATGTTCGCAGCTTGTAACTAAATTTAGGTATTACGGTGTAGCTTCTTTCGATACGAAATAAATCTCGACAAGAGACCAATCGTCTAAACCACAAAACCGTTCGACGAACAATTAAAATCTATATGGATGATCCGAGAATGATTGTCTATGAATAAATCGCAATGAAAATGGTTAAAAACCGATTCTAGTCATTCTTCATCGAGCACGCTCGGCGATCGACTCAACCCCAGAATGAGAAGCATGAGTACACTTTCAGTCGTTTCAATGGCTCTGCATTCGTTATCGTGATTTTTCCCCACCATAGCATTGTGGATGCATCTTCAAAAAGTGGCAAACCACTTTGGATTTCATAGCGTAGAACAATGATCTTCGTATAATCAATGCTGAGTAATTTTTGTATTCGCATCAAGAAACACAACTGGTTCGTGAGATAATGAAAATGATCGTGTAAGAGTCTTGTCTGAAAGTCTTGTCGGTTCTGTAATCGAAATGTACAGATTCGTGTTAAAAAAATAGACAGCATTATATTTCACAATTCATTCGTATAATCGTTTAAGTTCTACTGTTTTTCATATAAAAATGGTAATATTAAATTATAACGTATGAAATATCATGCTTATCTCTATCTTATTATAGAATACAAATTTTAGTAAGTACTTTTATTTTAGATCAAAGTACTTTTATTGGCATATTTCAAAATTTACATTTAAATGTGAAACCCCAGTTTCATCCGATGCAACTACGCTTTCGGTTGTGTATACAAGGGTAAGTTTAAAAGCCTACTTAATTGTCGGTTAAAAATTCAGCTGGTCCAGCTCGCGTACGAGCTTGAGCGTGATTTCCAAAGAAGAGGTTTCACCATGCCATTTGGCTGACGAGGCATTAGGATCAATCGGATGTGGCGTCTCCAGGTGCAACCGATATCTGGAAAATCGTGACTGGCTTTAAACTCTGGTAGAATTACGGACTCGTAAAATTGTCAAAGAAATACCGGCCAGACTTGAAGTCAAAGCAACGTAAGTTCGTAAAGGATTGCTTGATAAATCGTCGAGTTCCTCTCTCACCTTGGACTCCGCACGTCGATCGCCTCGGTTTCTACGGACAACTCGATTTTCTCGCGTACTTCCCGCGGCATCTTCACCAACACGGACAACCATTCGCAAGATGCTGTTCCTGGCGTTTTGAAACCCATCTGATTCAACAAGTAGACTCAAGTTAGTAGCTGTTCTTTACCTTAGCAGAAGTGTTCAGTGTGAATGATGAAAGAAAATGATTTTACGTCGACTTTATTTATTTATGTCACCTTTGTATATTGCATTAATGTGCAATCTAAACGGTAATAGTAAAAGATAGATGTTTACTATTTTCTCAGTGGAAAACCAGACAAATACATTATTCTAAAACATTACGACTTTCGACAATTTTATCAATATTTGCGTTAAAAATTTAATGATTTTTTAAATATTTTTTTAATCTTACTTTTTTAGGATGTTTTTTAATATAGTTGTTGGTAGAAAAAAAGTAGATATTAAACAATTAGTAGCTTCAAGAACTTTCAGGAAGTACTTTAATGCGATACGATATTTCCTGAAAATAAAAATGCACAAACAAGAATTTCAAACTGTTCATTCCTTAATTGCAAGTAATACGAGAATAATCGCTGCCAGGAAAATCACAATTCGCTGAAAATAAAATTGTATTACATGCTATTTGATTCTATGAACAACAATCGATGGAATTATATATCCTACAAAAAATACTAGGAAGAAAAATAAAAATAACTTGTGACTTATGTCATGGAAACATCGAAATAAAATGAAGTTTTATAATAAAAAATACTTGTGTCTGCTCCTATTGGATTACAATCAGTGACAAAAAGTTAATCAGAAAGTTTATGGTACGAAAACGAACTTCGCACATAGCTGAATTTAAAAGCAATCTAGTCGAAATATACATGTCGAGGCGATACCAACACCCAAAAAGACATCTTCCGCTGTCACCGCCTGCTTAAATTTCATCTCATACTCCGGCACCTCTCTTGGATCATAGACTTCTGAACTCTGAGAGGCTACTGCTTCAGACGGATGCCAAATATCATCAGCTTCCGTTTTCAGAGGTGCATGTGGAACGACACGATTTTGGGACATTCTATTTTGAGCTCCGATATCACCAGGACCTTAAAAACGTTTATTTTACGTCATATATACTGATATAAAATATACAGTCTACAATAAAATCTTTTTCCTTTGTTCGCTTCCTCCTTTTTTAGTAATAGCATTAAGAGATTCTAGATAGATGAAGACAATAAAAAATGATGCTAGCGTTAATAATTTTCAATAGTTGAGTTTCTAAAAAAGTTTGTAAAGAATACATTATTGAAAATGAATAATAAATGATTTGAAAATAATGCTTATCATGTTTATTTAGCAATTTAAGAAAACATATTACTTAAATAATTTAGTAAATTTAGTCATTTGTACCGCGTTCAAGTTTACAAATAGATAGATTCTATAAGATATACAAAAAGAATAACTATATATGAATGAAAAAGTATAGAAAATTTATTATATAATTATCGATTATATATAAATAAATGTTATTATTTTTCAAATTACAGCAATAATTTTAATCTTTTAAATTTAATAGAAGATAATTTTTCATCTACAATTTGTATCAAGTGATTTCGTAAATTCTACTTTGAAAAATTACGCGCCATTTTGTCTAAGTAAGATGTATTACATTTTACTACGTATTAAATTATAATATCCATATAAATCATATATATATGATTTATTATCATGTTAACAGCATTATCAAATATTAAAATATTCTTAATCATTTATCTTTTTATAACAAAATACGACTATTTCATTAATTTTATTATACAAAACACAACCAGTCCTTTTTTTCTTTAACCTATCATAAAATATTTAAATCTTCCATCTATAGCAAGAACAGAAAAAGTCAATTACATTCTAAAAATTTTGCAACTTACCAAATTTTTTAACAGCGGTCTGTGATAAATCATCGTCAGAATCTGAACTATTTTTCGAAGGATTGATTAATTCTTGCAATGCTTTTAATTCATGATAACCGAAACAATCAGCCATATTTTTAATTATGTGCAAACGTTTTTTAGATTGACATTATCATGTGCGACTTATTCTAACGCGCGTGTCAACAATGTAGTTGTCAAGGTAACATTTTAAATATTGTCTTACTAAAAGTAAGAACAAAGTGGGAAGAAAATTACAATCTTTGTAGATATTTATATATACTTAGAATATATAATAAAAATAACAAAACAAAATGTTTAAAATACATAGTAATCCACAAAAAAAATTAATTTTAAGATAAAATTACATGTAAAAAGAGAAAAAGAATTATTAATTTAGCAGATGAATACCTCGCAGGTTCACCAACTATAAAGTGAGAATCCTCTCTACAGAAGTTTACCAACATGGCTGATACAGTGAGTGAAAAATTATCAAAAAAGTGAGTAAAATAAAAATACTGACAGAAAATTGGATTTCCAAATTTTATGTTTCATATTTACTAAAAATTTTACTTTACTTATTCTTATAATTTCAACATAACCTACATGAAGCAGTATAATCAATGTCATTTTCTGGTTAACCACGTTGTTATTTGAATAACTGTTAATATTGATGTATATTTTTTAGCACTAAATAGTAACATTTTATAGATATTTATAAATAAAGATATTTATTATATACATACATGTATATTGCATATTAATGTAATAGTAAAGATAGATTTAATCAATTATGCTGCCTAACATAACCAAAATTCCTGTTAACGTAATATTGCCGGTCGTTTATAAATCAAAGTCAACAAAATTGAATCAAATATTTACACGTCATTTTCATACAAAGTGCGTATACTTAAAAAATCATAGTTTCTCATATAAGAAATAAAACTTATGTTTTATATGATTCAAATTTGATTTTAGTGAATTGAAAAGACGGTTAAAAGCAGAACAAAAATTAGAAAAAAATGCAGAGAGAGGAGCACAAGCACTTACAGCAACAGCCCAAACTAAAGCTGAGGAAAAAAAGGAAATTAAAGAAGAGGATATTAGTCCAAATGTGAGTATATTACATTCATGTATATGTCATAATGTTAAAAAGCTTTTTATTAAATAAATATTCAAATGTATAGGCACTAAATATTATAGTTGTATTTATTTTCAATATTATTAATATTTTTTTAGGAGTACGTTAAACTCAGGACACAAGCAATTAATCACCTCAAAAATGCAAACGATACTCCATATCCACATAAATTTCATGTATCAATTTCATTAGAAAATTTTATTGAGAAATTTAGTGACAATTTGAAAGCCGGAGAAGTATTAAATAACGAAGTACATAGCATAGCTGGCCGTGTACATGCAATTAGAGAATCTGGCGCTAAACTAATCTTTTATGACCTCAGAGGAGAAGGAGTCAAAGTTCAAGTAATGGCAAATGCAAGAAATTATAAAGATCAAGAAAAATTTGCCATTGATATTTCTAAAGTAAAGAGAGGTGATATTATTGGCATAGTTGGAAATCCTGGAAAAACTAAAAAGGGTGAATTTTCCATTATGTCACATAGTATTACTCTCTTGAGTCCTTGTTTACATATGTTACCAAATATTTATTTTGGATTAAAAGATAAGGTATATAAAAATAAAACTTTTGATTTACAATACATATCAGTTTAGAATAATGACAATAGTACTTTTATTTACATAGGAAACACGATTTCGTCAACGTTATTTAGATCTTATATTAAATGATAAAGTAAGAAAAACGTTTTATATTCGAGCAAAAGTAGTTGCTTATGTCCGTAAATTCCTTGAAGAACTTGGATTTTTAGAAGTTGAAACACCTATGATGAATATGATTGCTGGTGGTGCAATAGCTAAACCTTTTGTTACACACCATAATGAATTAAATATGGACTTATATATGCGCATTGCTCCAGAATTATATCATAAAGTAGAAAAATTTCATTATAATGATGAATAACTATTACATGAATTATGTATTAATACATTACTATTTGTATGATTATAGATGTTGGTAATAGGAGGATTGGATAGAGTATATGAGATTGGTAGACAGTTTAGAAATGAAGGAATAGATTTAACACATAATCCAGAATTCACAACTTGTGAATTCTATATGGCTTATGCAGATTATAATGACTTGATGTCTATTACGGAAGATATGGTGTCAGGAATGGTGAAAGCTATACATGGTAGTTATAAAATAACATACCATCCAGATGGTCCAGAGGGTGAAGCAGTAGAAATTGATTTTACACCACCATTTAAACGAATTTCAATGCTAAAAGCTCTAGAAGAAGTTTTAAAAATTAAATTACCTCCAGCAAATGAATTAAATACTCCAGAAACGAATCAAATACTTAACGAACTTTGTACCAAATATGAAATTGAGTGTTCTCCACCAAAAACAACAGCTAGGTTATTAGATAAGGTAAAATTGTTTTTAAATCTAAGGATCGATTTAAGGTAGAAATTATGATATATGTAATTTAATAATATAAATATATGTATAAATACATTCTTAACAGCTTGTTGGAGAATTTATAGAAGAAACTTGTATCAATCCTACATACATTTTGGATCACCCACAAATTATGTCTCCATTAGCAAAATGGCATCGTTTTGAACAAGGTTTAACAGAACGATTTGAATTATTTGTTATGAAAAAAGAAGTTTGCAATGCATACACAGAATTGAACGATCCTATAGTTCAAAGAGAAAGGTAATTTATTTAAATAAAAACCCTACATAAATTGCAGAGATAATACTATTTTTAATATTCATTTGATACCAATACATACAGATTCGAGCAACAAGCAATGGATAAAGCAGCTGGAGATGAAGAAGCCCAAGTAGTTGATGAAAATTTTTGTACTGCATTGGAATATGGTTTACCACCAACTGCTGGCTGGGGAATGGGTATTGATCGTATTACTATGTTGCTTACAGACTCAAATAACATTAAAGTATGTTTTCAACTATTAAATAAATATGATAAAAATATGAAAAAATACAATAATAACATATTTTTAGGAAGTATTGCTATTCCCACAAATGAAACCAGATGATCCAAATAAAAATCAAGGAATATCTGAAGATAACAAAAAACCAAATGATGATAAGACAAATCATGTGGAAAAATGAAAATTCAATACTGTGATCTTATATTCTTTTGCAAATGTATGAACTAAAGAATAAAGAAATTATACTTTCAAAAACTAATGATTGTATCATTTTTATTCCACCTCTAATATGTGTGTGTGTTTGTGTGTGTGTACATTATTTACTACCAAAGTAGTATAAAACTATGAGAACACATAAGGGAAGTATTAGTATACATTCATACGAAATATACAATCTTAACTTCTACTGCAATAACGTCTTTTCAACACCTGCTTAATTTTTATTACAAAAACGTAAATCATACTTAAATAGATATTTACATTAAAACTTGAGAGCAAGTACTGAACAGTAATGTGTACTTGCAATTTGCTGGCAGCTTCTTTATATTGTCAAATATTTAAGTAATAAATAAATAAAATTTGTATAAGAGTACAATAATCATTTACAAAAGATCACAAAGGAAGACTCATTAATTCTCATTACCTTAAATTTAACTTGCTATTAACAAAAGTTACAAACTTTTAAATATATATTAATTAAGTTGCCAGGGAAACGTTGAATTATTAATTTAAAATTGATATGTTTCCTGGACACTTAAATTGTGGCAGCTTTGAATTGTTCATAATATTCACCATATTAAAAAGTTTCTCTTTTGTAGATATTAGCCAAGTATAAAATTAATTTTTATCAACTTTCATCTCCTTTAACATATTTTGTAACAGAATTATAATGAGCACCTAGTTCATACATATGACGATGGTAAGTCAGTATCATTTTCTTTTCATTATTGTAGTTATCACCAATAATATATGGTGCACCTGATGCCTGAATGACCTCTATCGGACATTTCAATACATGTGAAAGAACTTGTAACTATTTTAAACAAAAATAATATTATAAGAATTATATTTTAAAAAGTATAAATATTTTTTTAATTTATTCTAACTTACTTCAATAGCTCCACCCCAAGAACTTGTATGTGCCACATCATGACAATATTTTTCATATTGTTCTGATGAGAGAAGATCATCTGAATCTGGAGTAGAAATGAATGGTAAAAATTCATTCATATTTTCTCTCAAATGTGTAGCAGTTTTTGTTCTAAGTTCATGAAAATTCAATGGAGTTTCTCCTATAATTTTTAACTGATGTGCGACAGCATTATATAAACTATAAAAATTGATGTATTAATTCCAAGAACAATTAATAAAATAACAAATAACTCACCAATGGCCATCACTTGGAATTTCATAAATCATTAAACCACGGTCACAAAGAATTTTCTTAATAGTTTGTAATTCTGTATTTCTTTTTCCAAAAACATTTAATGCTTCTTGCTCTATGATTCTCTGATTACGTTCTTTCTCTGCATTTGCTTTCTTGTCTCTTCTCTTCTGTGCTTTTGAAATTCTATGTGTTGGTTGCTCATATTCTTTATTGTTTGTATTATTTTTTGTGCTTTTATTACTAATATTTTCAGTATTTTTATTTTTCACATTATTTATATTAAAATGTGTCACTTTCCATGTAATTAACTCTTCTTCTTGCTTTTTATCTAGAGCTTCTTCTAAGTGACTAATTTCCTCAGTCACTTCTTTTTTCTTCTTCTTATCACCTTTGCAAATTGATTTTTTTAATATTTGTATTTGTGCTAAAATTTAAAATAATGTAAATAAAAATTTATATATTTTATAAATATTATTGGAAATATAATATCATATATCTGATATAATAACATACTATTAACAAAAGGTTTTATATAAGCACGATTTTGTAAATAATTTCATACGAAAGAAAATATATAATAAACTAGAATTATATAATTTTATTACCTTGTAATTCTTTTCGTTCTTTTTTATGCTTTTGTATTAATTCTTCTTCCATTAATTCTAACTCTGCCATTTTTTATTTAGAGGTTATTTATAAACTATATAATTATTTCAAGGTTAAGAAGCGAAGTACCGACATGATAAACGAATAATGCATCACAGCATTTTCATGAATCAATTTTTACTTTTGACATAAAATTTGGTAAGTCTTAAATTGCATATTCTTAGCTTAAGCTGAATATCTAGAAATTATTGAATACTGAATCTATTTATTTTTCTTTTAAATATCAAAATTTGATGTTAAATAAAAAATTAATTATTTGAATTTATATAACATTTTAAACTTTTTAATTGTAATTTTATTTATTGTTTTCATACAAAATTATATACATTGGATAAATAATAGCTTTATACATAATGCAATAAAATAATGATCGTTTTCATAGAAACATGATAAGGAGGCTATTTAGTAATACCTTTATGTCTCAAACTATACCTCGAAAAGCAGACTTTCAGTTAACTATGGGGATGTTTAGTGACTAAACTTTAGTCGTACAGTTACTGTGATAAGAGAAAGTTGTGTGGTGTCTTTAGTTATTGATTTAATTATTAAACATAAAAATGGCAACTGATGAGACTTCTTGGAGAACACAAAGTTTTCGACAAAGTGTAATTGCAAAAATGTAAGTTAATTTGTGTCAAAAAATTATAAATGGTAAAAATTGCTTGGTAATCATTTTAATACTATACACAATAAAGCATAAGAAATTTTATAGTGTTTAACATCTTTGTAAAAATAAGAAATGAATAAACAAAAAACAATGCATATTTTTATATCTGTTAAATATTTTTTATATAGAGATGAAGCTGTACAAATATCTGGTATGCCCACTGCAAAAAACAGTATTGAAATGGAAAATCATGTTTTCCAGAAAGCAAAAACCAAGGTTTGTTGTTATCCTTTTATTTTGATCTTATTACTTATAACTTATTTGTTAAAAAAATAAATAATAATATATATATATGTATATATATAACAATATAATAATATTAAATATACATAAACATATACAATAAACGTATGCATAAATAAAATAAACATTTTTAAAATCAACTGCAGTAATGCATTATTTGTCTTTTATACTAAAAGTGAAATTATTAATTATTTTTATTAATAACAAGTCCATTTATTTGCAGGAAGAATATCTAGGTTTTGTGGCCAGACTAATTCTACATGTCAGAGAATTAAGTAATATATGTATATTTGTTTAACTTGCATAAATTAAAATTAAATAATTGGCAATTTATAATACATTATATTGTTTTTTAGACTCTAAAAAAGGCACAGGAGGTAATGCCCCAGGTACAGCTGGTTCTGGAAATCAGGTAATGCCTGATCCAATTGGGGCATTACAAACATTAGCACGTCAAGGTACTGGGAATAATCAGATGATGAACATGAGTGGGCCAGGATCTAATCCTCAAGGAATAATTCCACAACCACCTACAAATACTGCTACTAATTGTAAGTACCTATGTATTTATTAAAGTAAAAACTATAATTTTTAATCTATTTTATTTTATCATATTTAAATAAGAATGAATTTAAATGAAAAAGAATTTGTGATTATTGTTATATCACACATATACGCACACACACACACGTATGCGTGCAAATTTATACAAATTTCACTTGTAACACATGGATATGTGTGACCACATGCAAATATATAATATACAAGAAAATAAAATAAAAAACTTAAAAAAAATATATATATATTATACATAAATTTATATTTAAAATAAAATATAATATTGCATTACGTGGTATTAGCTAAAACAGTTGAAACACATTTAAGGTGATTTTGGACAATTGGGACTAACATTGTAGTCTTTTTTACATTTTTTTCTCGTTTGCTGGCGTTCGAAAATTTGTCTCTTCTTCTGGTAACACAGAACGCAATTCTACAAATAGAATGAATCAATAGAATGAAGGTCCTCTTTCTAAAAAGCTTATTGCTTCTCCCACTTCATGACCAAATACTTTATTCTTTATAATGACACGAAGATTTGGGGACGTTACGTCATTGGTCGTCACTTTGACTATCAGATTTGGGCCTCAGAAACTCGACCGATTCACACTGAGTGACGTACATGTCAATAAGACTGCAGACATAACCTAATTATTAATAAAATAAAAATTTTTTAAATAATTGTGATAATTTGTATAATTTTAATATTTTAGTAATAATTGGATAAGTTTACAAAATTATAAAGTTATATGAAAAAATGTCAAAATTAACTAATATGTATTACTCACAATATGAAAGTTCCATAGAAAGTGAAGCTGCTTATGATTCTGATAATTCAGATACATATAAAATCTTAGTAAAGTCGCCATCTCATGTTAAATTTTATAAATATATTGAACGTAGAACTGATGAAAAATTATTACATGAATTTTGGAAGCGTACAATACGTGAGCAATCAAATTTTGCAAAAGAGATCAAAGAACAATGTGGCATGATAGTTCACCTAGCAGATAATCAAGTTTGTTATGTTTATAAACCAGATGTAAATGAAACTCATATACCAGGCATCAAGTTCAAACTAACATTTGTTTATGTTAAACTATTGCGCAAATGGTATATTAGCTTAGGACGCAGTTGCATGCCTGATGTCATAACACTTGATAATATACTCAAAAGTGGTACTTATGATCCTACTAAACCACACATCCTTAAAATAGTATGTAAAATAAAGGATGTATTGCAAAACTTTGTACAAAGGTTAGAACTAATGTGTAAAGTGGTCGAAAATATGAAAGAAACTTACAAAAATATAGAATTTCAAGTAAATAAAACTTTAACCAATGTTAAAATAATACTGAAAGAAAATGTCTGGCCAGAAGGTATAGAAAAAACAAGTCCAGAAGATATTATTATTCTAGAGTTAATACTAGATACTAATTTTAAAATTGATAATCTTTCATACGAATATGCACATAGCAAAAATGCATTAGCACAACAGAAAAGAATGTGCATATTTAAATTAGAAAAGAAGCTGAAAATATTTTTTGACCTACCATTACTGGAAGCATTTAAACTGTTTATGAATGAAGACATTCCTTGTTTAGATGAAATATCACCATATTAGTCATATATTATGATATATACATTTAAAATGGATCATGTAATTATAAATAAAATATATTATATTTTTTATATTAAGTTTATATTTAAGTTTGTAGTTATTACTTTCTATTTAAATTTAACAAGATTTTAAATATTTGATTTGGTTATTGTTTTTTTGGGGGATTTTGTATTATATTTGTTGAATATTTACCTTTAATTGAACTGAATCATATTATATGTATATACAAATATATGTATTTGTAAAATATATATTTGAAAAAGTTAAAATAAAAAATAAAATTTTATCAATGTAATTGTTGTATACTCATATACAAATAATACCTATTTATATACATAAAATAAGTTTCCTATTTTATACTATTTATTAATTCTTTTAGTATTACAAAGTTTGAATCAACGTCCTGGACAACCTATGACCATGCAAAGCATGCAAAATAAAATACCAGGTATGGGCATGATGCCTGCTCAAACCAGTGGACCAATGAATCATATGGGTCCAATGCAAACTATGCAAACCAATTCAATGCTGACACAAATGAATCCAATGGGGCAAGGAAACATACCTCAACAAATGAATCAAATGGTTCCCAATCAAATGGCACAAATTACTACTGGTCAAATGCAGCAAAACATGCAAGTATGTATTTTTTGTGAAAGGGTATCAATTTTTGTTCTAACTAATATAAATTGTAAATTGTATGTTATATATTTCAGACTCAAATGCAAAACCAGTTATCTAATCAAATAGGTAATCAAATTAGTGGATCTATAAGTGGAATTCAGACAAGTATGCCACAACAAATGAATCAAATTGCTCCAGGACAATTAGGTCCTGGTCAAATGCAACAGCAATTAAGTCATATGCAAAGAAAGGTTTGTAGTACATGCAAATAAGACAAAGTATGAACATTATTTTAAGATTTTCATAAATATTGTTCTTTTTAGCAAGGTGAAATGATAAATGCTGGCTTTCCTGGTCCTCGAAATGTTACACCAAATCAATTTTTAGGTCAAAGTCCATCACCATCTGCACCAAGTCCTGCTGGTTTAGGTGCACCATCAAGGTTATTTTATTAAATAATTTGTCTAAATATAACAATTAAATTTAAAAAAAATTATTTCAAATTAATATAATACATGTTTTAATAGTAATCAAATGGTAGCATCACCAGCATTAGTTCCTTCGCCTAGCCCACAACATGCTATGATGGCAGGAGCACAACGATCTGTGGGCATGTTAAAATAATTTCTAATATAAAAGTCATTAATTTCAATTTACTATAAATGAAGGTAAATAAATAGGATTTATTTTAAATTAGGCATGGCACCATCTCCTAGCAGTTCCTTAAACACTCCTGGAGGCGTAGGAGCTACTCCAAGCCCACAACAAGAAGATCAAGCATATAGAGATAAAGTTAGACAATTAAGTAAATATGTAGAACCTCTACGAAGAATGATTGCTAAAATGGGGAATGAAGGAAGTAAATAATATTGATATTAACATTAATCTCAACCTATATTTTTACATAGATAACTATTTACATAATTTCTTTTATTTTACAGACGTCGATAAATTAAGTAAAATGAAGAAACTTTTAGAGATTTTGTCAAATCCTAGTAAACGAATGCCTTTAGATACATTACTAAAATGTGAAGTAGTTCTTGAAAAATTAGATTTTAAACGAAGTGATGCTAGTGTTGGACCTCCAGTCACGACATTAAAAGAACATCATTTCTTTAGCCCACTTTTAGAGGCAGTAAGCACTCATCTTCAAAGTCCAGTGGTGAATCATACATTGCAACGTACCTTTGGTCCGTGTCTAGAAGCTTTATTTGGTCCAGAAATAAAGTAAATGATAAATTTATTAATTTATGAACAATTTTATTACAAAGTATAGTCTAATAAAACTTTACTTATGTCATTAGAAATTTACCACCACCATTAAAAAAACAAAAAATAGAAGAATCTCCTAGTGAAATACCAGATGTATTACAAGGAGAAATAGCTCGATTAGATCAACGATTTAAGGTAATTAATTTTTCTTCATAATTAAAAATTATATTATATTTTTATATTACATATAAATTTGTACATATATATATATAGGTCAGTCTTGATCCAGCACAACAAACTGGATCAAAATGTATTCAATTAATATGCTGGCTGGATGATCGTCATCTTCCATGTGTTCCTCCTGTATCAGTAACTGTTCCTGCT